GGGGGGGGGGGGGCGACTGCTTTCCACAATCCCTAAAGGACAGCAGGGGACATTTTGAGCAATTGGAAAAAAAATATCATTTTTTTTTCAAAATTGAGTTGTAGGGGACCTGCGGGCTGGATCCCTATAAGGATATTACACCATCCATGAGCTACATTTTGCCCATATCTGGAATTACAACATGGATGACTCGCCCAGCCTTAGACCAAATTCAACTACTGTACTGAGATGTTTTCAGGAGCCCCGCTGCTGTGATAGGCAAGGCCAAGAACAAAAGCAGGAAATGAAGGTATGGGTGCCCTTCAGCTGTTGCTACCAGCAATTAAACTTCAGAAGAGGCATTCAAAGCTTTTAGAATTGGTTTTTAAAAGGTTATAAATTCTAAGAACACACAAAACAATAACATTGTATGGAAGGTGCCAGATAGGGACCCCCGGAGGGTTGGATATAGCCCCAGAGGTTGAGGTTCTCCACACCTCCGCAAGGGGAAGGTGTAGAGTAGAATTACTTGTAAGCCCCCAAGTGGTGTACTGATAAGTCTGAAGGAGGAAAAAAATCCATGTGCTTTATAAAGTGATACATTAAAATAAAACAAGGGTGAGAATGCAGCCTTACAGAAAACAAATGTATCACCAATACATCTGGATCCACATGACACCCCACTACTTGGTTTAAAAAAAAGTCTACCTTTCAGACAGAAATATTGGACTTATACCATGAAAGATCACTACAAGTCGAAACTGTCTTGGCAACATGTAATTATTATTTAAAGCTGAAGGAATAGCTGTTTTGGCTCATTTCAGCCAAAGAGATTGCATTAAAATTCCACATATATGCATCACACAATTCATTTAAAAGTAATTGTAATTACTGCATGGTTGCCCTCACATTGCTACGGAATGTTTGCATTACCTGCTTTGCACGCTTCCTTGCATCATCCAAACTTCTTCCTCTTTCCACTAAACGCTGAACTACTTTTTCCCACCTACTCTGGACACTGATCAGCAGATTCTTAATGAGGACAACATCCTGTTTCTGGCTGAAATATTTCAAATGTGTTCCAGTTTTGTCTAGCTCAATAATCTGATCACGGTGGGCATTCACTTCATTGGCAAAGACCTTCCAAAAGAAAGAAGACAATGTTTGAAGACCTCCTTCATTGTCTAGCATGTGAATATATATATAGCTATCCAAAAAATTAGGTGGTTATCTACTTTATTAGTCTGAAAGGAACAATAAAATGTCAGTAGAAGCTAAAAATTGTCTTTTGATTTTAGTGTTACTGGCTTACATGTTTTATACATCAATGTATGAAGGAGAAAGTTTTACATCTGCCGTCATTCCTTTTCATACCTTGTGTTCATCAATTTGAAACAAAACAGTGTCCAAGATAAGACTTGGCCGAGAAGCCACAGTCAAGGTTTGCTCAGCTTGAGTAAGCCAGTTGATGAAGTCCTGCAGTGAATTGTGAAACTCCATTGCTAAACTGAGGGCTTCTTCTAGTTTGATCTGTAAAAACACACCATGATTTAATAGCAGTAAAAGAAAATAAGCCATACTGCAGTCAAACGTAATATGGAAGATGGTCATTGTTCTTGGGCTTCCTCCTTCTCTACTGCCATCATTTTTTCTGAGTCAATGTTGACATGCTTTTGAATATTAAACAAAAAACAGGTAAACAACATCAAACCCACCAACCCACCCACCCATTCCAGTGTGAAAATTTGGGGTTTTATACATTCAATCCCCAGTCACAAACTTTCACATACTTAAAAAAATTCCACTTTTCAGTGTTAAATGAGGAAGCCTACAAGTATTCAGGCTGAAGCACAGACATGCTTTTGAGCTTTGATTCTGCTTGCATGAACAGGGATCGCATGTACTGCACAAAGGATGGTTAAGAATAAGTCTAAAAGCTTTCTGGCACATAAATTACACATTCTTGCCCAGTAATTATCACTGAGGAGACCCCTATTCTTTCCAGCAGAACAAAGGCCCAGTGCAAACATTTGGCAGTTGGCAAGAGTATCTGTGCAGAGGAGGAGCAGCCACGTCTCCTCTCCTCCACAAAATACATAATGTCTCATTGGGGAGAAGAGAAATACCATGGACTAGGGGTCAACATGCAATGTCTACGGTGACATCTCTATGGTGGAGAGAATACCTTCTCATACGATTCCGCCAAGTTTTTCAGTGGCCCTGTAAATATCTGAGGCACTCCCAGCACCATCAAACTGATGAATTTACATTACATGAGAAATGAGATCGCAAATGAGACTTTTTTTGGTCCAAGAATAGCTTCCTTTGTTTATTTAATCCCATTTTTTCCTTATGAAGTCCTTGTCCTTCAGTGTCTCGAAATGTAATTTACAGTCTGACTCAGATTAAACTGTTTAGCTATGTTTGGAGTACAGAAAGAATGTCCACCCCCGTGGAAACCTATGGCTATAAGATGCTTCTACTGGACTATGAGGTCATTCCCAAAAAGCATAACAGAGGCTCACAATTTAATATTTTAAATAACTGTTACATTTGTAATGTCAACTATAAAGTCAAAGCATCAGTTGCAAGCTGGACTGGGTAATTAGAAAGGATTTATTTATTCCTTGGGCCTATGACCAATATACAACAAGAGGAAAGATCTTTATCCACTGTATGAATAGATGCTGGTCTACTGCCATACAATTCATATATGAATGCTACTGTGGAATATCATATTTTACAGCTCTGATCCCAAATGCCTTGTTAAAGATACCAGAACAACTCTATATTGAAAATAATCCAATACAAATATTCCCAAACATATTGAGAGAATCTTTCCATGTTCATACTGTAATACCTTTCTTTCACTGAGCTTTGTTTCTACAGATTCCCATTTTTCTTTGAGGTTATTTATGTCTTGCTCAACATTTGTTTCAACAGACTCTGGACGGCTTTGAAGCATCTGTAGGCCCTTTTGCATTAGAGATTTAAACGTTTCTTCTTTAGCATTGAAGGCAGCACAAAGCTCCTAAATGAAGAGGACAAATATCTTAAATCAGTCACGGATGAACATTAAATCTAAAATGTGCACATTTTACCATAAGATCAGGAAAGACAAGAATGTGCATGTGAATATATAGGATGCATGTCAACAGAATGAAAACTGCAGCCACTGTACATGTTTACATGGAGAACATACACATGGTAGCACCATCAAACAGATCACAATGTTTGGTCAAAATGGATCAATATAAGAAACAGTGAGTCAAGTATATAAGGTGGTCTTGTGTTTTGGATTTGCATGTATTGTATCTAAAGCAACATTTGCATAAACAAATATGCACACACATTTCAACTTTATATTTAGCATGCTGACCTAACAGCTTAGGCTGTATTCTATACAATGGAAAACAGCATGGTCTTAGAGTATGAATGAATAATGACTCCAATTCTATTTACATGTCAGCCTCCATAACTTATTTCTGCTATGTTCTGAAATACTTCATGCATTTGTATTTATGTTACACAATAAAGCAGTAATAATTAGCAAAAAAATGCATCCAGTAAGGAATCCTTGAAGGTTAAGGCACAGAACTGGACTTGCTGTCTTCTGTGGCCCAAGTCCAACAAACCACTTTTTCTACCCTGTTCTCCCCCACCCCCCAATACACACATCCATCAGACTAATCTGTGATTTTATACAGTATCTGATGTTGACTGATCACAGTCAACGACAAGAAGTACATGCATGCTACTTCTAGGTACAAATCACTGTTCACTATACTAGTTCCTCTTCAGAAGACACAACCCATAAAAGACTCTGAAACACCTTGCTTAAAATTCTACTAGTCCTGTTTTCCATCTCCCTTTCTTGGCCCATTCAGTGTGTACTTATCTAAGTAACATACACTTAGGCTGGGATCCAAATAATATCTGCCTTGCTTGCCTGAGACAAGCTGCTCAGATTAAACGCTAATTCACCAAAAAAGAAGCATGTTCTCCCACACACGTGCTCCTTAGATGTAGACTACAATCTCACAAACGCTTTCAGTGTCACTGGATGTCAGTTATGAAAGCACAGCTACGTTTGGCACTGCAGGGTGTTTACAAATGGTCACTTCCTTAATGCTTCTAATCAAAGCGCTATTCCATCTTTCTCTCTTTACCAGATTCCCATTTCTGTTTTCGGTGGTAAGAAAGAACGAAAGAAAAGATAGAAAAACGTGTGGGTTAAAAATAGAATAACTGTGACTGTATCATCTGTAAATTCTGTGTTTGAGGCATGGAGATTGCATAATAACAACCTAATATGGATGTACCCTGGATATCTTATATTTTAAGAGGCAGGCAAACGTTAATGTGTTTTTGGCTCTAAACTGAGATTTCTGCTTCATTAAGACAGTGAAATCAAAATAAATATACCATTGTGCTCTCTGGTAATTTAGATGAGTAGATTCTTTGTTTCTGTGTACTGGTCATGAGAGTTATGCAATGAGGAAGAAAATAATAACATGGAAAATTTTCTGTGTTCCTTGGCTATCTTTTCCTTTTTAAAATGATATATTTTGCTGTTACAAAGAGCCAGGCATAAAATGATGTCTATATTTTGGGGCTGTGGGTAAATTAAAATATAATTTGGTATTAAGGACAGGGATTAAAAAGAATAGAAATTGTAGAGGAACAATAAAAACGTTTCTACATTTTTAATCTGAATACCACAAAAATATTTTTTTTCATTCTATAAATAATATTGGGAATAACTCGCATGCATTACTCAATCAGTTCTGCAGCATGGTACTTTACAAAAGAGACTCTTCAGTAACCAAAATGTTTCACTATGAATGGCCCACAAACATTATGTTTTCAAATTGGGACCATCTGAAATATTAAGATCCTTACCATATGGGTATTAAGCTGCTCTCTTGCAGTCTCTGGTAAACCACCAACAGGCTTCGATGCCAAAAGCTGACGTTCGGTTTCTGTCAGCCACTGTTGCAGATCTTCAATTTCACCATGGAAACCCTGTGCCTAAATGATACATCACCACAGCACTTCAGAACATATCTCAGCCTTTTAACTTGCTACATCAGCGAAGAGACTGCAAACACTGAACATATTAAATTTTTTAAAAACCCTGTAAGAAAATTTCAATAAACCAGAAAACCCACTAAAAACTGAAGATTGTTGTACATGTGATGAAACCCTGTGGAAAGTAGAAGAAAGTCCTTCAAACACCACACAGATTAGTGGAATTTATAACAGATGAAAAAATTATGTATTTGTTCCTTTCCTATTAAACTTTAAACTTATGACTGAGGTGATCTTCTACAAAGATCCATTCGGAAACAGAGAAGAACTATTTCAAATTGGAAATACAGAAAAACAATCACACATACAGCAAAGATGGCTGAAAGGAATAACATTTTAAAGCCCAATTTATGACCGTGGATATATATATATGAAGATCGGATGAAAAACACAGAAGAAAACTATACATATGGTAAAAGTTGGCTTAAGGGAATAGCTATAACGTAATTAGGCACAGAGCAAGACTGGTTGCTATACAAACAGAAAACAAACACAGGTTAGGGGATATGTGAGATCTACAGTAGGGCTAGAGGACACATACATCTCCAAATGTTGACGAACTTCTATTCCCATAATCTCTGACCACTGGCCAATGGCTATGCTGTTTGGGATTGGTGGAAACGGAACTGAAGAACCATAATTTCCCCAGACCTCTTCTACAGTCTGACATTTCAAATTACTTCCAACTCAGCAGGGGAACCATTCAGATAAAGTAAAGCAATTTTGAGTCCCATATTTCAACTGCAGGGAGCAAATAGCACTTTAGCTCTTCTACTGAAAGCAGCAGGACTTTAACATACTTAACTCTACTGTGCCGTATGTATCCATTCAATGGGAGCTGCTTTTCTTTTCCTTAGTTTCCCAGACATACCTGGATCAATGCACTGTCCAGCTGCTGTTTTCTTTTCCCTGTTTTTTCCAGCACATTTTGCCATCGTTGATGCAGAAGTTCCAGCTTGCTTTGTAGACTACTTGCTTCTTCAACAGCACTTGATTGAATCAGGTCATTTCCTGCTTTCTTAACTGTTTCCACAGTAGACTGGTGAGCTAAGACATCATTTTGCAGCACCTGCAGTTGCAAAGATGTTGTGCCTCATCATATATTTTTTTAATCACTAATTATACTCAGGACAATTGAGTCAAATAACATCATCAATTCAACAAAACCTACTGACAATACTCCGAAACAGTATATATTTCAAAATGTGCTTTGATACTTTACTAATATCACATTAGCACTTTGTATGTTCTGTACTACTGTAAATATTATATATTCTGGAGTATTCTCTTTGTAAAAGAAATACTTGGGAATGTCTGTGTTCTATTTGTAGAAGAAACTATGACCGAATTAATAAACTTTTTATTTTCCAGAGTATATCCTGATAGTGGGAATCACTGGTCATATATTCTGATAATTTCTTCATAAAGATATACAAAGCTATGCAAAAAATTTTTCATAAAAACTGGACTGCATGGTTGATAACTTTGAGACTTTTCTTTTACAAAGCATAACCACTATTGGTTTTGTTAAAGCACACCTGATATATAAAAACAATGGATATATAAAAACAATAGTCTGGTCCTACAATGCTAACAATAATTCAACATGGGAGGAAAATACTCTGAACTAAATTGAAATACCACTCTGCTATAGTCTTTTTGTGATCTCTCACTATTGCATGTTCAAATGACAATCGGCAGACCAATTTAATTTACATCATTAATTTCTTCTTCCCCAGAGTCCCAAGAGAGAAATTCTTACGATGACTGCTTCTATGAACTAGGATCTCTACACACATAATAATCACTTCTTGGCAATGATTTCTGCAATCAGGGCAGCATACTTTTCACCATAGTAAGAGGAATCATCCCAAAAAGCAGTATTAGCTTCCACAGGATGCGGTCAAAAAACCAGTCAGAGCAAAACAGCCTGAAAATCCATTTGTATTACAAAACCAAAATTACATCCTCATTTCTTAATAATACAGAAAGAGAAATCATATTTCATATGGCAGGGCTAGTTTTATATTATTACTAGTAGCTAAGGTAAAGGTAAAGGTTCACCGTGACAATTTTTGTCCAGTCGTGTTCGACTCTAGGGGGCGGTGCTCATCCCCGTTTCCAAGCCATAGAGCCAGCGTTTTGTCCGAAGACAATCTTCCGTGGTCACATGGCCAGTGCGACTTAGACACGGAACGCTGTCACCTTCCCACCGAGGTGGTCCCTATTTATCTACTCGCATTTGCATGCTTTCGAACTGCTAGGTTGGCAGGAGCTGGGACAAGCGACGGGCGCTCACTCCGTCGCGTGGATTCGAACTTACAGCTGCAGATGTACAGATCTTACAGCACAGAGGCTTCTGCGGTTTAACCTGCAGCGCCACCACGTACCTATTACTAGTAGCTACTATTTGTTAATTGTTATCTCTCTTCTGTCACAGCACGTTCTCATTCCTTTGTTATAACTCAAATATGGAAAGAATCTTCATTGGTGTTTTAAATATTTTTATACCAATTCACTTTTTAAAGTGAAGTTTTATTACAGAAATGGATATTATTTTCCTGATGATGATTTTTTAGAACAGTAATTACTGCTTGCCAAGTTCCCAAAGTTTTGGATCATCAAAGAGGAAGTTCTACTGATTGATCTATTTGTAACATGTAAGTCTGAATAAGCGAGGGAAAATAACAAAACATTTTTTCATAAGCATTTTTGTTCCTCCCATTCATTCACTAAGTCATGGTATTATGTGATAGTTTGCCAAGAACACTTTTTTAAATCAGTAAGATGATCCGAGCCAAGGATGAACTTAATGAGGAAAGGAAACAGCAACTTTTTGCATCAGCAATTATGGTTTCAAAAGTACATATTCATCCTCAGTCTGTCTTTTTAAATATATAAATTATTGTTTTAAGAGCTAGAAAATGTGATCTGGAAATACCACTATTTAAAAAAAAACACACCAGTAAATCTCAGCATGAGCCACAGCAGTATTATTTACATACATGATGTTTGGCGAGTTCAATCTCAATAGCCTTCGGGTCCCCACCCACAGGCTTCTGATCATTCAGCAGGTCTTCTGTGTGTGTCAGCCATGTCAGCAACTCATCTAAAGCATGCTGGAACTGCCCCAAAGCTAACAAGGCGCCCTCCAGCTTATGCTGTAATAAAACACAGTAATAACAATTGAAATTGTTACATGATGTTAAGGATTTCCTATGTTAAATACAAATTTAGTCCAATGAAACCTCAAATAAGTAATTTAAATATTGTTGTGTACCTGAAAGCAATGACTTTATCTGAAAGCAACAGGTGTTCTATTTACATACTGTGTTGTTTAGAGTTCTTTCCCATCATGGGTTATAGGTTAAGCATCATTTTTATCTTTAAAAGACCCCAAACAAAGATTGAACCGAAAAACAATGACTTCTCCAAACTCCCTACTGAGTTTTATAACTTAAGGGGCTGAAATTCCTGTTGCAGAAGGACACTCAACTATCTCTCTCATTTATCTCACATCTGTTTCAGTACAACTGTGCATCAACTTGAAGTTATGCTTGACTCCCAAATCTATAATTCGGTTAAAATATGCTCCCCCGCAATCCTCTGTTCACCTTTATGCATTTATATTTATTTATTCATTCAATTTGTATCCCGCTCCCGTTAGTGTCACAGCACTACTCTGGGCGGGTTACAACTGGTAAAATAGAAAAAAAAAATAGAAATATTAAAATCAAGTGGAATAACTCTGAAAAAAAAAAGATGGCACTGACGAATCCCAGAGTGGATGGAGGAAAAGAGGGGAGTGAAGAAGAGGAGGGGAAAGGGGGAAAAAAAGGCCAGATAACAATCTTTGAGGAATGCAGAGCAGTGCAACTTTGCAAGTCTTGGCCTGGCCCCTCTTCCATGGGTTCAGTGAATTCCAAGGCAAGAAAAAGCACCCACTCTCCTAATCAATTACTTTCATGGCAGACAGCTCTTTTGGAAGATCCCTTAATTTAAGACTAAAGGGGTGGCATTACCTTTTTAAAAACTGCAAGCCTATGAGATGGAATTGCTGTTGCTTTGAATTGTGTTAAACTGTTGTGCAAAACCTTTTTCTTAACTCCTCAACCATCAGCCCTAACTGAAATGAAGTCTCTGTCACTGTGCTTGCTCCCATTCTCCTCTTGTGAACCTTTCCCTTTCTCCCCTCCTCACCCTCCAAATTCAGACTGCAAATCTCATGGAACAAAGACATGCTTTTTTGTTTGTGACCTTAGTCTTTAAAAGCAGCATTTATTTTTATGGCAACATGTAAATAAAAATAAATAAAAATAACAACAGGGCATTTGTATAGACTTTCTGGCTTTATGGGCACAATAACAATGGCCTAATTCACCGGAAACACCTGCCATACTGAAGCTTCTTTGTAATTGTTCTTAATGGCAGCTGCCTTAATGTGTCAAGCTATTTGTAGGCAATGGTTCACTAAGCGGATGGGAAGATTTCCTCTAAGCCATCTCCCAACAAATCACCAAGAAGAAATTTACACCATTGCAGCTTTGAAAAAATATCCTAGCTCACTTGGCACATATCTTCATTCAAGTGGGTTGCCATGTGGAAACAGATGCCCTGGAAACAATCATACTACAAAAGTCAATATATGCGCTTAAATATAAAATGTAGCAAAGAAAAATAAGACTAATGGTGAGACACAGGGCAGTGCCGTATTAATTAATTGGGAATATTTCAAAGAAATACATTACAGCCTAAACTGGAAAGGAGACTGAAATTTAAATCTTAATTAAATAGGTATGTGGCAAATTCTGAAGGCTTGATGGAGATTTGGTTAAGGTTCAACAGCATGTATCTACTTAAATGTTTGTGATACATTTTTAATTATATACTGAGCAACTGAAAATGTTAAAGTGAAACCAATTTTGTGAAGTCATGGCTGTAAATCAAGCAGAATCCAATAAAAGGAAATGTTTACACACAACTACTTTATACAAAAAGGGGGGACACACCATGATTGTCAGCTAAAATACATGGAGATTATGGCATTAATGACTCTACAAGAATATAACTGCAACATAAGGCACCCTATTTTGGTATGTTTTGGCACAATTTTTGCTTACCTGTCGGCTAACAATTTTATCCTCCAGACTTTCCCACAATAGCTTCAGTTCAGACAAAGGATCTTGTACAGTGTGCTTATCACTCTCTTCTGTCACCTTCTTTAGCAATAGCTCGGCTTGGTGATTTAGCCGTTCCATTTCTATCTGTTGTTGATAGGCTTCTTTCTTAAATTGCTATTGAAACACATGAATGCAGAAATCAAAGAAAACATTAGCATGAGAACAGCACTCTATCCTATTCATATACTTCATTGATCAAGTGAGTGGTATATTGTAGTCTAAAAATCCTAATGAAACTTATCTGGGTATAGTCCAGTCTTTTAAAATATAAAACAAAATACAGTAATAATGCAGTAAAATGACAGCTAAGACATTTAAGAATAATACTGGCAAAAGAGAGGAAAACATTTTAGCATATAAAATCAAACAGAAACCAGAAATGCAAAGGTATGGAAGTAGTGAACCTGCCCTACAACTCCTTTATGGCTGGATCCAGATTGGTGACAATGGGTGGAAAGAATTTCTGTTTTATTGCTGCATATACAGTGGTGCCCCACATGACGACAATAATCCGTTCCGTTAAAATCACTGTACAGTGAAATCGTTGTCATACGAAAAAAATCCATTGGAATGCATTGAAAACCGGTTAATGCGTTCAATAGGGGAAATACCTGATCGTCCTGTGAAGATCCTTCATAGGGCGGCCATTTTGCGATCGCTGTCTTGTGAAAATCGGTCCAGAAAACAGCGGCGAGCCATTCTGCGAACCGCTGATCAGCTGTTTTAAATCGTCGTCTTGCGAACAATCGGTTCGCGAAGTACGGACCTAACTGACGTTAAACAAAATTCCCTATAGGAAACATCGTTTTGCGATTGCTATAGCGATCGCAAAAAAGTCATTGTCAAGCAACTTCGACGTCATGCGGGGTAAGCGTCTAGCGGGGCACCACTGTAGTGTGAGAGGTAAGGAAGGATGAGCAAATGTTATTTTATCCCTTAACTTCGGCAAAGGCCTCAACTAAATTCAAAAAGTTTTTGAAAACAGATTTTAATGTTTTAATATGTTGGACAAACCTAGATTATGGTCTTTCCCCAACTATACAGTTTGGAAATTGTGTGTTAAATGTGCATAGGAAAGACAAACAAACACATAAATAAATAAAATATTCTGAGATTAATTTTGGGATCACAGATGTGGCAGTCTTCATATTGTGCATTTTCATGAACAAATTCCAGCAACTGGAGTCACATAATGCAGCTTCTTTATATATAAATTTCTGTGAGA